CCGGTCAAAGTGGGCTTATTACCGTGCGATTGAAAAGCATGTGTGGCTGCTAAATCTACCTTTCCAAACTGCAATGGATCAGCTTGGGGTGCTGCTGCTGTATGCAAGCCAAGCTAAGTGTAACAGAAAATAAATCCATTGTACAGGCAAATATGTGCTGTCAGTGTATGCTGTAGACATGTAAGCTGTGGAAAAATTTGGTTCGGTTTGGTTCGGTTATTTCGCTATTTCGGAATTCGGGATTCGAATCCGAAATTCGGTTCGGGTTTCGGATTCGGACGAAATCTAAATTTCGTTAGTTTCGGATAAGTTTACGAACGTATATTCGGTACGACTACCACATAAAACCATATACAGATATTAATACTAAAGCTGAAGCTCCTAGACCCGAATGGCATTCGGGATCCGAATTTCCGAACTGCATTTGAGAGCTCCCGAATACTATTCGGGTCTGGAAACTATATACATATAATACTAAAGCTGAGGCTCCCAGACCCGAATGGCATTCGGGAGCTCCCGAATGCAATTTGGAAATTCGGATCCTGAATGCCATTCGGGTCTAGGAACCTCAGCTTTAGTATTATATGTATATACTGTATATGGCTCCCATGTAGCCGTAGTGCAAATTCGTGTTCAGACCCATTCCCGTGCATTAAACCGAAAAACACATTTGATTGGCCAGAAAAGTCACATGTCTCATTCAGTTTCGATTTTGAACGAAATTCGGACGGGATCCGAAATTTGGAAATGGAAGTTCGGATTCGGACACATTTAGATGCATTGGGATTTGGAAATTCGGATGTGTCAGAATGTCCGAATTTCGGAAATTTTGTACGAGACTGAGACTGTCTGTAAAAAACATACTGTCCTATAATACCATATACAGCTTTTCCCAAGCACGTCATTTAAAGGATTTGTGTGTTTTTGAAGTTGCCCTCGAAGCCACATGAAAAGACCCCCTCCTTTTTTTTTTGTACATGTCCCTCATGGCACTGCCCAGCTTCCCAGCTTCCCAGCTGTTGTGACTGCAGTTTGCTCACTATTGTCAGATCACTGAAGAGATAATTTCTGATTGGTTGTCAGAATACTGCCCGTTAGTTACTCCCACGCTCCAAAGACGTGCTTGGTAGGTTAATCGGCGCCTCTCTAAATTGGCCCTCGTATGTGTGAGATAAAGACCTTAAATTGTAAGCTCCCTGAGGGCAGGGACTGATGTGAATGTAAAGCGCTGTGTAAATAATGCACATAGGATAGTTTGGGGTAAATGGGGAAGGTGAGCATTAAGTATACACTGTATAACCCAATAACCAAAATTGTAATATATTGGAACTCAGCATTCCTTAGATGCAGTGACAGAATTGAACTATGGGACCTGACTACTCATTAGCTTCCTCTATAACCCCAAGCTATACATTTTTTTTGTTCCTGTGCTCATTGTCTCTTGTAAATTTGGGCCTAGCCTTGCTCATTAAAACTGTTCTGTTACTGGCCAACATTTAGTGCTGATAGGAGAAGAGAGCAGAGAGATGAACTAATCACAAAGCTGCTTCTCCTTTCACTGTCCAGTCACATGCTCGGGAGGGTCCAGACTGAGGACATCTAGTGGCAGAATAAAAGTACTGCGTGGGGGAGATCTACTTATTGAAGATTGCAGCAAAAGCCGGTGTTCTATCAAAACCTCCAACTCCTCGAGATCTCCAACCATCTGACTTCCGGTTTACTTAGAAGTAAGAGGTTTGGCCAAGAAGGCTGTACTGCACATGCGCCACCTGCTGCATTTCCCTATACACACACTACACAGCAATAAAGTATTAAAATGAACTAGAGTCAGACTATTCCAGCACGTTATTAATCTTAGTTGCCCCACTCAATACGGCTGCAAGCGACGGACATATTGAGTGGTGCAACTCAGATTAATAACGTGCTGGATTAGTCTGACCCTAGTTCATTTTAATACTTTATTGCTGTGTAGTATGTGTATAGGGAAATGCAGCGGGTGGTGCACGTGCAGTACAGCCTTCTCGGCCAAACCTCTTACTTCTAACTAAACTGGGAGTCGGATGGTTGGAGACCTCGAGGAGTTGGAACTTTGGATAGAACACCGGTTTTGTTATTTTGTTTCATTTTTATCTTATTTCTGTCCGGAGTCCTGCTTTTAGAAAAAAATTATTTTTGTTTTTGTAGCCTCCTCTACAGTTAGAGAGGACCTGTCACTATGCATTATTCATCACTCAGTTTGCTGCAAGCCGTGAAATTCACGGACACATTGCGGCCCTGTTGATAAAAGAGCGAGTTTGTCAGTTTGATAATTTTTTGATCCGTTTTTAACTTTTTACAACTTGACGTGTTTAAAAATAAAAAACGCATTTGACAGTTTAGCGCGTCCCTTTAACCTGTAAAAATTCTCCACTTTCAGCTCCTGTCTCTTTGCTTTACTTCCCCAAATTGTTTTATTTCTTTCAAATTTCTCTGGTTTATTCTTTTTTTTTTGCTCCCTTCTGAGAGATTCTTCACCATTTTTAATTCGAGTTGCTTGCAGACCGAAGCTGATAAATACCGAGCACAAAAAAACAAAACAAAAAACGGCAAAAATCCAGCAAAGAGTTCAAAAATAAAAAAAATAGAAATAAAATCGCTGTGTTTAAAAAAAAAAAAAATGTGTTTCCATAGAAAACGTTTGGTCTGTTCCTCCTACATATCCCTGTCTTTTGTCTTGCTACAAATTATTTAAAGGAGAACTATGGGGTTAGGGCTTTTCCCCATAGATCTCCTTAGTGTAACGGGAGGACACAAACTAGCGTCCTCCCGTCACCCTAAGCTCAGTATACCGCGAGCTACAGCTCCCAGTATACTGAGACGCCGCAGCTGGAGCGGATGCCGACAATTATGTCTGGATCCGCCCAGCTGCGTGAGTGACAGCTGGCTCTGCCTATCTGGAGGCAGACCCAGCTGTACCCACCCCCTCCCCCGTCCGTTCCGCCAGTCAGCGCTGGAGGATCGGAGCGGGGAGGGGGGGGGTCCATGCAAGGAGCCGTGACAGGATCGAGAAGTGAGCGAACGCTGGTATGTGTTCGCTCACTTCCCGATCTACTGAGCCGACCTGTGACAGTTTCATTGTCACAGGTCAGCTAGAACTATGAGGTGAGTGAAAAGCACTCGCCTCATAGTTCTCCTTTAAAGCTGAACTCCAGGCAGATATAAAAGACACAAATTAACACATTAAAATGACATCAAATGTAATTGTATATTTTTTTAAATGCAACCGAATGTGAATTGATGTCATTCTTTTGCAGTCTCTGTACAGCAAAGCTCAGAATGGGGGGGAGGGAGAAGCAGCGGAAGAAGCCAATCAATTGTGCTGCAGTGCTCACCTGCTTTTTTTAGGAGGGAGAACACAGTGACGGGAAGATGAGCTCATAAGTCTGCTGCTTCTCCTTTTATTGTCCAATCACAGGCTTGAGGAGGGAGATGCCCTGTAAGTGTTAAGAGCTACAGCAAAGAAAAATGGTCTTTCTGCCTGACAGAACTGTTCTGTGTGGTGAATTTCAACCACTCTCACCATGATAAACAGACTGGCTATAACTGGCCAGTAAAGAAAGCCAAACGGGGATCCCAGGCGACATCATTTAACAAATATGGTTGCAAGGAGCCTTGCAAAGCAGGGGAGGCTAGGCCACTTTCACTTGTAAGGTACCCCTTTCCTAGGCCACTTTCACTTGTAAGGTACCCCTTTCCTAGGCCACTTTCACTTGTAAGGTACCCCTTTCCTAGGCCACTTTCACTTGTAAGGTACCCCTTTCCTAGGCCACTTCCACTTGTAAGGTACCCCTTTCCTAGGCCACTACCACTTGTAAGGTACCCCTTACCTTCCCCCATATTAAGATGCTCAGTGTGCTACAAGAAGGGAACTGGAGGGGGGGGCATGCTTGCTTCCCTTTCTTTCCTGGCCACCCAGATTGCGTGCCTGGGTGAAGGTCTGGTTAGGATATTAAAGGGAACCCCCTCGTTTTTGGTTGGGGGGGGGGTTTCAGTCATTTTGTAAATTTTACTTTTAAAGGACTTAGTTGTACTGTTCTATAACTTCACATGCAGCTCTAAGGCATCCACAAGCATGTTATCTGAAGGATTCAATGTTTGAAGCCGCATAAAAAGACCCTCTCCTCGTTGACTGGTATTTTTGCATTGGTACCCCCATGTCCGCCATGGCAGTGCCGAGCTACCCATGCCTTCTTCTTAACTTAAAGTACAATTAAACCTTCTGGGTTTTTTTGCTAGCAAGCAATATATATATGCAAAAGCATAAAAAAAAAAAAAAGTTACCAAATAGGTAAAAATGTACCTGTGTCTCCGCCGCTCGCTCCCGTCAGAAGATCTGAAGCTTCTCGAGCGGCCGTGCAGGATGCTGGGGCGGGCGCATGTGTAGTAGAGATCTTGGGCCGGGTGAAGAGGAGAGACACAGGGTAAGTCAATGCAGGCAGCGTGCACCCGCACAGACGCTGTGGGACCGAGGAGGTAGCGCTGGATCAGGGTTTGAAAAGGGTGAGAAACAAAATTACAATATTCAGCTCCCATAGACTTTAATAGGGTTCGGTGCTATGTTCGGAGATCACAGACTTGCCACTGGGCAACCCTCCATGAACCAGACTTTGCCTTGTTCACATATATCTAGCCAGGGCCTCTAGGAAAGCTTTTTGCTGTCTGTGCCCATATTGAGATTTCCCCTTGCTTCCTGTGTGGTCAATGAGGTAGAAACTTGCTTGTTTCTGTTTTAAAATCTAATTATATGTACAGTCCTTGGTGCTGTGAAACAACCACAATGCTCATGGTATCTAAAGGCCATGTGATCACCTACTTAACCTTTACAAAGGTAGCTTGAGAGCAGCTTTTATCATTTTGATTGAACCTAAAGAAATGCGCACTTAATGAAGGACGGATCATTTTCTCAGCAGATTTTAAATTGTTACCTTGTTGTGTCTGATGTTGCCCATGTTCTCTTCTAGCTCCGCCCTCATTGAAGTTGTCGGTGAACGAGACGCTGGTGGTGAATCCAGGGGACAACGTCACTATGCAGTGTTACGTCACCGGGGGCGACCCTCTGCCCAAACCCGTCTGGTCACACTCTCCTAAACCCATGCCTCCCAACAGCGTCAGCAAGGGGGGGAACCTGACCATCTGGAATATACGGCCAGAGGATTCCGGCTACTACAACTGCACGGCCATCAACAATGTGGGCAACCCGGCCAAGAAGATGGTCAACGTCCTAGTGAGATGTATGTCCTGTATCAGGCCAGTAAACCTTAGTGATCCCGTATATTTCACACCGCCATGATGAATGTGATGGATGTGTATAGATGTGCGGCCCATTGCTGTGTCTCCGGAGCTTGGTATTATTGCTTGGCTGACTTAATACCTCCTGTCCAACGCTATCCATATTAATTCTAAACCATGCCCATCCTATAATGCACCTTCATACCTGGAATTTGGCGGGTACAACCTAGGATGCCTTCACAGTATAAAATGGCTGCAGGGGGACCAGTAGGTATGAGCAAAATAGGGAGTTTTCATTTTCCTGAAAATTTCAGCCATAATTAGGAGATTTTGGCAAAATGTTGCATTTTGGTACCCTTCTATCATAGTATTTGCTGTAGAATGTTTTAAGGAAGTGGCTTTGCCCCAGCATCTCCTCATTCTTGGCCCCATCATCTCCTCAGGCTGGCAGGAGGTTCCCAAACCATTCCACAAAGATTCCTATTGATTTCAAAGGGCCTTCTGGTTCAGAATTTCCAAATTCTGGAGCTTTGTGAGATTTTACAAAGTTCAGCCAGACCATGGCTGGTCAAGCTTTTCAGAAGTTCCTATATCTCTAGTATTGAACTGTACACATGAAGGATGCACCTGCGTAAGGTAGGACATGTCAGGTGCATAAAATTGAGGTCCTGAGAATGGGAATGTATCTGGAACTTTCACCTTTTATGTTCTCTGCCATCTTTAATGCTGAGAAACAGCCACAATGCCCCTGGTAGCTGGAGACCATGTGATCTCTTCTATAGGCTTCAAGCCACATGAGGAAGCCTGAAGGCCATTTTATTTTTCATGGCAAGAAATATACACTACCTAACCTTGGCAATAAAAGTCACCACCTGGATTTAGCTAAACAAATACGTCAGAGCCTTCCATTGGATAATAGGTCTAGGTTCAGCAGCATTGTGTCCCCAAAAAATGAGGTCAGCTAGCTACCTGAATATACTGAATGACAAGGACCTTCCATCAATGGATTTTTTTTCTTCTCTGATGGCACATTGGGCATATTCCAGGATGACAATGCCAGGATTCATTTGGCTCAGATTGTGAAAGAGTGGTTCAGGGAGCATGAGACATCATTGTCACACATGGCTTGGCCACCACAGAGTCCAGACCTTAAAGGAGAACTATGAGGTGAATGATTTTCACTCATCCTCATCGTTCCAGCCGACCTTTGACAATGAAACTGTCACAGGTCGGATCAGTAGATCGGGAACACATACCGGCGTTCGATCACTTCTCGATCCTGTCACGGCTCTCTGCCGTGAAAGGGGAGGGTCTGCATTCCCTCCCCGCTCCGATCCTCCAGCGCTGACTGGTGGAACGGACGGGGGAGGGGGCGGGTACAGCTGGCTCTGCCTCTAGAAAGGCAGAGCCAGCTGTCACTTACGCAGCTTGGCGGATCCAGACTTAATTGTCGGGATCCGCTTCAGCTGTGGCGTCTCAGTATACCGCGAGCTGTAGCTCGCGGTATACTGAGCTTAGGGTGACGGGAGGACGCTAGTTTTTGTCCTCCCGTTACCCTAAGGAGAACTATGGGTAAAAGCCGTAACCCTATAGTTCTCCTTTAGTCCCATGGAGAATCTTTGGGATGTGCTGGAGAAGACTTTACGCAGAGGTCCGACTCTCCCATCATCACTACAAGATCTTAGTGAAAATGTAATGCAACTCTGGATGGAATTAACTGTTGTGACATTGCATAAGCTTATGGAAATGAAGCCATGGCGAATGTGTTCCATAATCAAAGACGGTCCAATGAAATATTAGAGTGTGTGACTTTTTTGCGGCCAGGCAGTGCATATTTTTTTTAATTCACAATATTAGAATGAATCGGTAATGTTCACTTGTACCCTGTTGATTCATGTGAAGTGTGAAAATGACAGGTCCACTTTAATGTACAACCTGAAGTTTTTTACCTCTTAACATTCATATTTATTCTTTTGTTTCTTTTTTTTTGGCCTTGAACAGCCATGAGAAACCTGACATATCAGATCACTCCGGATGGCAACAAAGAGAGCGAGACCATCCAGCTGACTCAGGATTTGAAGCTGTCGTGTCACGTTGACGCCGTGCCGCAGGATAAGGTCCAGTACACGTGGTACAAGAATCAGAAGTTGATTAAGGAGACCACCAGGGTTTTCGTCACAAGAAACGACCCGGAACTGGCCCCGGGGTGCTGCAGCCTGGAGATCTTAGACTTGAAATTTACTGACTACGGCATCTATATGTGTGAAGCGTCCTTACCCAACCTGCCCTTTACCATGAAGAGCGGCGACATAAACATCTCTGCAGAGACCGGTGAGCATGCATTATTCTGTGGGTGGGCCAGTTGGGGGGTTATGGATCAAATCAGTGAGAAGATGCAGTTTTATTCTTTGCAAAGGACAAGAGGAAATCCATTGTGTATTTAGGATAGCTAGCATGACCATTAGATTAGGAATGGGATTTAAATACTGACTCTGGGCTCATTTTATTTTCAATCTGTCCTCTGCAGTACTTCTTCTCTACCACAAGATGTCCCCAGTCTTGTGGGATGAATGACACCCAGTGACAATCAGCCTTGAACACCGAGGACTGACTGTCATGGCCCTGCCCCCTGAGAGAGCATCATCGGGGCCTGTGCACTGACATACAATAATACAGAGAACGTCAGCACCACTCTCTGCATCATGAAGGAACATCCAGCGCCAGAGAAGACATTACATGTCACGAGACTTGCTTGAACATTTCAGAAAAAGTTGACGAGGTGGTGTGGGGAGGGGCAAAATTGGCCTTTAATGCCCTACTCTAAAACCTTTTATTTCAATATGGATGGAGTAGAAAAGGGTTAGAACAATGGAGCTTTCCACTGGGGACAAAGGCAAAACAAAATAATAATAACTGTTTTTTTGAGTCATTTAAAAAAAAAATTAAATGGTTGAATATAACTATATTGTTAAAAAAAAGGTGAAGAGGTGGGCGCTATTATTAAACGGTACTGCAGAAAACACATACGAGTGGCCAGTGCGCCAGTGAATGGCCATGATCTGAGCTGTCATTGGACACCTCAGATCACAGGTACAATGTGCAGAGACAATCAGAGTGGCTCTGTACCTTGTGATCTCTGTGAACCAATCATAGCCATCACAAGTGTAAATTCTGCTGTGTTTACAAACATTAAAGGAGAACTATGAGGTGAGTGATTTCCACTCATCATCATAGCTGGAGCCGACGTGTGATAATGAAACTGTCACACGTCAGCTAAATAGATCGGGAAGTGAGCAAACGCATACTGCCGCTCGCTCACTTCTCGATCCTGCCCCTGTAGAGAGCCGTGACTGTTACTCACGGCTCCCTGCAGGGATCCCCCCCCCCTCTCCGATCCTCCAACGCTAACTGGCGGAACGGACGGGGAAGGGGGCAGGTACAGCTGGCTCTGCCTCTAGATAGGCAGAGCCAGCTGTCAATCACGCAGCTGGGTGGATCTCGACAGTAATGTCGGGATCCGTCCCGGCTGCGGCGGTCTCAGTATACCGTGAGCTGTAGCTCGCGGTATACTGAGCTTTGGGTGACGGGAGGACGCTAGTTTGTGTCCTCCCGTGACCCTTAGGAGAACTATGGGGGAAAAACACTGACCCCATAGTTCTCCTTTAAGCCCATTTACAATGGAGGAAGTTCCCCTTCTCCTGTTGTGAATGACCTGAATGTTTGTAAACACAGCAAGAGGATGGATTGCGGCAGGTCGAAGGTGAAGGTAGGGGTTTTAACCTGCAATTGACCACCAATGATTACTGGATTTTTTTTTGAGGATTTTAAAGGGACCACTGACCACCAATGATGATTGTGGGATTTTTTTTTAAAGGTTAGAAGGGGGATTAAAGTGCCGCTGACCACCAGTGACTGTTTTTGTTGTTTTTTTAAAGCTCTATCTGTAAAACAAAATGATATAAATGCATGTGGGTCCAGTTTTGCATGTCGGAGTAATTGTCAGTCAAACTATCACAGCGCTGAAAATGGAAAAATGGCCTAGTAATGAATGTGGTATATACAGGATAGTACTCAAAGGGTTAAACAACTGGAATAGTGGCTAATATGATTCAGCCGGCCAACGTGTGGGTGAATGCGTTTTAGAAGTGTGGAAATGGGTGCTCGGCAGTAAAACATATCAGCTACTTATTAGCTGATTGGTCGTTCTCCACCTTATAAAAATGCTTCATAGTCAACAATGTAACTGTGCAAATGACAAAACTGTTACTCTTATCTCTTGTTCTCCCGCAGTCCCTCCATCACTGAGTGTCCCCAAGGAACGCGCGGTCATCACGGTACGTGAGGGCTCCCTTGCAGAGCTGGTGTGTGAGGTGCGAGGGAAGCCACTTCCGCCCATTCTGTGGACCCGGGTGGATAAGGAAGGTGGATTCCCCTCTGGTGAAATGGTGGTGGAAACTCTCGATGGTAGACTGCGGTTGGAAAATGTTACACGGGAAATGAGCGGGACTTACAAGTGTCAGACGGCGCGGTATAATGGCTTCAACATTCGGCCCAGGGAAGCTTCAGTGCTGCTCAACATCCAATGTGAGTACCTATAGCAACCACATTGACCAAACTATTGAGGGGAAATCTCACCATTGTGAGAGGGGCAGAGACACAAACTACTGGGGGGAATCTCATCAGTGTGGGAGGGGCAGGGACAAACTACTGGAGGAAATCTCACCATTGTGGAAGGGGCAGAGACACAAACTACTGGAGGAAATCTCACCATTGTAGGAGGGGCAGAGATACAAACTACTGGGGGGAATCTCATCAGTGTGGGAGGGGCAGAGACAACTACTGGAGGAAATCTCACCATTGTGGGAGGGGCAGAGACACAAACTACTGGGGGGTATCTCATTAGTGTGGGAGGGGCAGAGACAGAAACTACTGTAGGAAATTTCACCATTGTGGGAGGGGCAGAGACACAAACTACTGGGGGGAAATCTTACCATTGTGGGAGGGGCAGAGACACAAACTACTGGAGGGAATCTCACCATTGTGGGAGGGGCAGAGACACAAACTACTGGGGGGTATCTCATTAGTGTGGGAGGGGCAGAGACAGAAACTACTGTAGGAAATTTCACCATTGTGGGAGGGGCAGAGACACAAACTACTGGGGGGAAATCTTACCATTGTGGGAGGGGCAGAGACACAAACTACTGGAGGGAATCTCACCATTGTGGGAGGGGCAGAGACACAAACCACTGGGGGAAATCTCATCATTGTGGGAGGGGCAGAGACACAAATCACTGGGGGAAATCTCATCATTGTGCGAGGGGCAGAGACACAAACTACTGGGTGAAATCTCACCATTGTGGGAGGGGCAGAGACACAAATCACTGAGGGAAATCTCATCATTGGGGGAGGGGCAGAGACACAAACTACGGGAGGAAATCTCACCATTGTGGGAGGGGCAGAGACACAAGCTATCACAGGGAAATTTGCCCACAAATAAATGTTTGCAAGTTTCCTTAACAATTTCCACTGTACATTCAGCTCTAGAGAATAATTCTTTAATTGGCTTTTCATGTAGTGTGGTATCCTAAGTAAACTGCAATTACTAAATACTATCAATTATATGTAAGACATATGTTGCTGATGATTTAATTATTCAGGGTAATATCTGGGTTACAATTAGATTTGAAGTAATATAAGCTGCAACAAATGCCTACTGGGTAAAAGCAATTACTGCAATAGTATTTCTATGGCTCGCAGAGATAACATTTTCTGTGCAGCCTGTAGGGTCATTAAAGGGAAACGATAGTGGATGTTCCTCGTTTTGCACATTTTAGGTTATTACTGTCAAGTTCACCTGGCAGTATTTTCTGATATCACCTTCACATTTGTACATGCTTTGCAGCTCTCTATTTTCAAAGTTGTGTTTCATGTGCCGAATTGTGGGAGAAAATGATAATCAAGCATCAGTGGTCAGTAAAAAGAGCAATAGTGCCCCATGATTGGTATTAGTTAGGAATTGTACTCTGTTGTTGGTATCAGTTGGAGGAATAGTGCCTTTGGGATGAATAGTTCCCCATGTTTGGTGTCATAGGGAGGAATAGTGCCCCATTGTTGGTGTCATTGGGAGGAATAGTGCCCCATTGTTGGTGTCATTGGGAGGAATAGTGCCCCATTGTTGGTGTCATTGGCAGGAATAGTGTCCCATAGTTGGTGTCATTGGGAGTAATAGTGCCCTATCGTTGGTGTCATTGGGGAGGATTAGTGCCCCATTGTTGGTGTCAGTGGGAGGAATAGTACCCCATTGTTGGTGTCATAGAGGGGAATAATGTCCCATCATTGCTGTCATTGGGAGGAATAGTACGCCATTCTTGGTGTTAATGGGCGTAATAGTTTCCCATCCTTGGTGTCATTGGGAGGAATAGTTCCCCATTGTTGACTCATTGGGAGGAAAAGTGCCCCATTGCTGGTACCTGTTGGAGGAATAGTGCCCCATCATTGGTGCTATTGGGAGGAATAGTGCCCCATCATTGTTATAATTCAGGGGTATAATGCTCCACTGTTGGTGGCAGTGGAAGGAATAGTGCATTATAATTGCTGTCAATGGAAGAAATAGTGCCCTGTCATTGTTAATGGAATAGTGCCTCATTGTTGGTGTCAGTTGGAAGAATGGTGCCCCATCATTGTCAGTGTAATAGTGCCCCATCGTTAGTGTCAGTGGGAGGAATATTGCCCCATCATTGATGTCAATAGGAGTAATTGTGCCCCATCATTGGTGTCAGTGGGAGGAATAATGCCCCATCATTGGTGTCAGTTACAGTATATACCTACATTAGTTACGGTAGTCGGGCTGTAAAAGACTTGTTGCAGCTTCTAATGCAAAATCAGAGTAAGCAATTTCAGTGCAGGAAAGGAGCCGGTGCAATCGTGGACTGAAGGAAAGTCTGGAGTTCAGCTTTATTTTAAAAATCTCGATATCTCTGTGCTATACGCATTTCCCGTATCTCGCCACCCACCCTACCACACTGTACAGCAAAAGGAGAGTGACACCCCTCTTCAAATGCTGCCGTTCTGCTGACACCCTGGCAGGGTCCATTCCTGCCTTGTGTCTACTATTGAACCTCACCCCACCAGCATCAGCCTTCCTGACCTCCTTTTGCCTGTGACCCCATTTTAACCATCAACTAACAAAGCGGCACTGCAAGCCTGATTTTGGATTCAGAAAGGTTCTCCGGTTATTATATCAGTTTTATTTCTGACCTGTGAAGGTATAAAGACATGCTGGAAGGTTAATTGGCTCCTGTCTAAATTGGCCCTAGTCTTTGTGTATGCATGTGAGATAGGGCCCTTACATTGTAAGCTCCCTGAGGTCATGGACTGATGTAAACGTGCACTATGTACAGCGCCGCGTAAATTGTCGGCGCTATATAAATACCTGTATTAAAGAAATAAATAGTATAGACAAGCAGTTTTTACATATCTGCATACAGGTCCTCTTTATTCCTGACTAGTGGGTCAGTTTGGGCGCTGCGGAGCCCCGTGCGGCCCTGTCACTCTGCCCCCCTGCCATGAAGCTCCCTTCTTCCCCATCGTTATCTCCTCTCCATGGTAGAAACACAATAAAAGCCCATTACTTTGCGGAGAGGAACCAGGCGTCTCCCGTGAAGGTGAAGATGGGAAGCGGAGGCGGTGTGTGCGAGTCCCTCATTACTTAGAGAGTGGTGCGCGCCTCCTCGCATGCAGCCCTCATCATTTGTTCCTGGCACCGCGCTCCCTGACCCCGAGGAGGGGAGGGGGGGGTTTTCAACGGCGGCACACACTCTGACGACTCCATTAAGGGAGCTTCAAGCCTAACGAGTCACCTGTCGCCTCGCCGCGCGCTCACACATGTCTGGGATTACAGAGACGGGTCTCCGCAGCTCAGACTCTTCATTAGCGTGCTTCTGGCGCAGCGGTCTTCATCTCAGCAGATGTTGGAGTGTGCCGCGCGTGAAGTTCTAATGATAAGAGTTTGGCGCTCCTTCCCCTCTCAGATCCTCTGCACAGGAGACGCCTATGGAGAAGGCTCAGATCTGTTTCTTTTAACCTCCAGCAAGCCTGACGGAGAACGCGGATACAACTCTCTATAACCAGTTGCTGTAAAAAAACAAAAATCGATGCGGGTGGCGCCCCGGTCGGGTTCTGGCACTGAAGTTTCTTTTCTTTAACCTTTTTTTAGGCTTTGGATGGAGGAGCAACAAGTCATGATAATGTTACATTGTTCAAGACTACATGTTCCATCATGCATTGCTTCCAACATGCAATGATAATGTTACATTGTTCAAGGCTACATATCCCATCATGCATTGCTTCCAACATGCAATGATGTTGCATTGTTCAAGGGCTACATATCCCATCATGCATTGCTTCCAACATGCAATGATAATGTTACATTGTTCAAGGCTACATATCCCATCATGCATTGCTTCCAACATGCAATGATAATGTTACATTGTTCAAGGCTACATATCCCATCATGCATTGCTTCCAACATGCAATGATGTTGCATTGTTCAAGGGCTACATATCCCATCATGCATTGCTTCCAACATGCAATGATAATGTTACATTGTTCAAGGCTACATATCCCATCATGCATTGCTTCCAACATGCAATGATAATGTTACATTGTTCAAGGCTACATATCCCATCATGCATTGCTTCCAACATGCAATGATAATGTTACATTGTTCAAGGCTACATATCCCATCATGCATTGCTTCCAACATGCAATGATGTTACATTGTTCAAGGCTACATATCCCATCATGCATTGCTTCCTGCAAGCAGTTGTAGTTCAGAAGGCAGGCTCTGTGAGAGTGGTGATACAAGGGCTGAGTGAAGTTGGGTCAGTCCATCCTATGGGCATCTTTAATAAGTTTACACATTCTTAGATTGATCTGGTGGTTAGGAGTGAGATAGAACTTCTGGAAATTCAATATAGAAATACCAATGTAGTTTAAGTTTTTTTAACCATAGACACCCCGTTGAAGTTGGACCGGCTCCTCTCCTGGACTGAAGTTGCTACCTCTGATTTCACTGCACACTGTGAGCTTCTCACCAATGTGCATTAGAAGCTGCAGCAATGCCTTTGCAAACTCCATTACCTTGTAAAAGAAGTTCTGACATCATCACTGTGCTGCACATAGCCTGTGCAGAGAGCAGAGCTGTGGGAGAGACCATCAGCCCCCACCCACTCTAGGAGGGGCAGCGACTAGACCAGTCACCCTGCACAAGGAGAGAGCAGCAGTGAGCGGTCTTTATTACAGGAGGGTCGGAGACAAGACCAGTCACCCTGTATAAGGAGAGAGAACGGCAGTGAGCGGTCTTTATTACAGGAAGCTCCAAGTCTGACACTGGATTACTGCACAGATCTGGAAGAAATACGCAAAGCTCACCGAGATTCAAGAAGAAGACACATGACTCTCGTATGAGGACAGCATTTGCTTATGTCGGAGTTCAGCTATAAATATGACTTTTAAGGGACTTTTGTCCAGTCACTGACCTCATAATCAAAGGCTCTGGCAAACAATCTTTGCCAATTTTCTGTATGAGTGTTTAAAGGAAGATCTACCAATGTACGGCTGGCTTTAGACTTCATTCCATGCCTCGGACTGCATGGAATATAATTGACCAGTGGGGGAGGAGAGGGGGGTCTATTCGGCCCGGCAGCCCCTTTGTCTTCCTTTGTTCCAGGGGGGTACACAGAAGGTCTGTGCGTATTTGAGGAGAAAGACGAGGTGTTTGGAAAGGCCGGGTAGAATAAAACCTCGTTGCCAACTTTCAGCGGCGCACATTTCATCCGTCCCAGCGGGCCAGCGCCAAGAGGCGTTAAATAAAAATGGCATTTTTGCTGATATTAGGCGTTCTTCCCAAACCGTCCTAATAACAGAAAACACTTTTTATTGGTGTAATAACGAGGAGGGAGAGCGCGGCGGCCTTCTCCCCGTGTATGATATAATGGATGTTTTTAATAGCGCGGCCTCTGGCAGAGGTTTATTTCGGAGTTTACCGCGCAGCGCGGACATGAGTAATGGAGACCCCCGGCGCTACGGCAGCACTAGCCCAGCTGCTGGGAAGCCGCGGCGGAGCTGGAAGATGAAACCGTTCGAGAATCCGGGAGGGCAGGAAGTGCAAGTGCATTAGACGCTGACCACCTTCACCTCTCTGCCGGGAGCTCGCTGCTATTAACGCCATATATCAAGGCGAACAAACACAACACCGCAACGCACACAACACCGCCGCGCCGTAACTCATAACAGACATCACCATTTATTGCACCAGTCCAGTGATGAGCAGCCGGGGAGGGGACCGGTCTCTATCTCTGCAGATTGCACAGAGAACACCGAGCCGGTCACATCAGTCTATGCAGCAGAGAAGCTTACACTCTAATGTCCCCGCAAGGTCACACACTGCTATTATACGTTTATATAGCTCTGACATATTCCACAGTGCTGTACAGAGAACACCGAGCCAGCCACATCAGTCTCTGCAGCAGAGGAGCTTATAATCTAATGTCCCCCCACACACTATTATACATTTCTGTAGCGCTGACATATTCCACAGTGCTGTACAGAGAACATGGGGCAGTCTCATCAGTCTCTGTACCAGAGGAGCTTATACTCTAATGTCCCCCTCACAGACACACTAATATTATACATGTATATAGCTGTGACATATTCCGCAGTGCTGTACAGAGAACACTGAGCCAGTCACATCAGTCTTTGTACACAGGAGCTTACACTCTAATGTCTCCCCACAGTCACACACTATTATTACACATTTATATAGCTCTGACATATACCGCAGCGCTGTACAAGGAAATGACTGACTGGACCTGTTGGGGTTTTTTGTAGAATATAAATGGATGATTCCTGTATGTGTTGAATGAATTTTTCTGTCACTGGGAATTCTATGAACATTCTCAGGATCTTTCGCTGATCTCTTTCAGTTGCCCCGGTGGTGGAGCCAAAGTCTCAGGACATCCGGCAGGCGATGAGGCGCAGTGTGCCGCTGCGGTGCAACATGCTGAAAGGGAGCCCGGTGAAAGTGGCCACCGCCGTCTGGAGGTTCAACGGGAATCTTCTCTCCACTCCCGTCACAGAACCGCAGGAATATTCTGAGTACAACATACCCAGCATGAGCCGAGAGACCAGCGGCAACTACGAATGTACCATCTCCAACGACGTGGGCTCTGATAGCTGCGTCTTCCAGGTGACCGGTGAGTGGGGAGGCTGCGTTGTCTTTCTCCTTACATGATTTTATCTCAGCAGGACTATACTGGCTCCATTAAACTCTTTAGTTTCTTGGCTTCAGTCTAACTTCTCACCCTCATTTGTTAATGTGGTTTTATGGAGCAAAGATTGTTCCTTGCAATATACTAGGCAGGTCATAGACAGGAGATGACAATTGTAACCTTTACATATTTGGCACTAGCACATAGCCCTTAGACCAGTGGTTCTCAACCTGTGTAACCTCAGGACCCACATTTGTCCTTGGTCATTAAGTCGCGACCTAAGTTGCACTGCAATGGAATGCATGGCAGTGTGGGCTGCTGTGCTGTGTGCATTGCTTGTACAGCTCCCATGCGCACCCTGTAGAGGTGTTGGGAGCCAGAATGTGATGTCACTCCAGTCCAGGCACCTCTACAGGACATGCGAGGGAGCTATAAGCAATGCAAGTATGAATGGAGCTCCCTCGCGACCATAGCCCCAGCCCACCTCAAGTCAGCACTCGGTGCCGAGCAGCATATTTTGAATGGCTGCTTGGTGTGAGAACTGACAGTGCTACACTAGGGAGAGGCTGAGGAACCTCTCACCTAGAAAAGTGGAAGGCATGCGGCGACCCACTGAACACAGGCTCACGACCCACTTTTGAGTCATGACCCACCAGTTGAATTTTTCCTGTGGGTAGTTGACCAACCAGTTAGGGTTATGGACATTGCTAGCTCTGGAAGCTCTTCTGTTGGTTCGTCCCCCTCCATTTTGCCTTTTACCATACCATATTTTATTATACAAAATCCTGTATAACAATACTGGTTATGGTGAGTAGGGACTAGAGAAATCAAAAAGCCCTCCAACCAAATGCCCTGAAATGAGGTAAATTCCTTAGTTATGGGATTTTTTTATTTCTTTAGTCCCCTCTCTCCAGAACCCATGTAGGTACACTGTAGGGTTTACTGTCTGGTTGGGTTCCTACTCCATAGAAGCCATGGTTTCCATACACTGCACTGGTGCAGACCAAAATTTCTGAAACAGGAATGCAGTTTGGAATAATTGGCTCTAATATACCAGGCTATATTTGCACTATACACCAGGAGTTCTAAATCTGTATCTGGCTCATAGTATGTAAAGCAATGATTTGTATGGTTCCGCCCATTGTCCTGAAATGAGGAATGATCCTCTTATTTTTTGGATATGTGGTGGAATAAGATATGTGAATGCCTTCTATTCTAAGAAGATCAGGCACTGTTTTGTCTGGGAGGGCCTTTTTGATTCCTTTAGTACCTTCTCACCATAGCCCTTAGAGGTACATGCTAGGGTTTACTGTCTGGTTGGGTCCTACTCCATAGAAGCCATGATTTCCATACACTGATGGTGGTCGAAAAGCCTGAAACAGCTGTATGCAGTTTGGAATAAATGGGCCTATAATAATATTAGTCTATAGCAGCATTTTTCAACCATTTTTCAGTCACCGCAAGAATGCAAACTCCCGAGGCGCCCCAGTCTAGAATGTAAATGTAAAAATGCTACAATCCATACCAGACCCTTATCCCAGATAGGGGTCAGGTATGGATTTTAAGGTAAAACCCCAAGCAAAAAAAAATAAAAATCAGATCAGCATCCTTCTTCATATCAGGGGCTTCCCTTTCACATCAAAGCCCCCTGCACATTAGGTGCCCCCTGTTTTACATCAGAAGCCTCCCTTGGCATCTGAACCTCCATTTTATATTAAGAGCTGCAGCTGTGGCAGCATGGCAGAGGGTGTGAGCAGGTGCAGACCTAGATGGAGAACTACTGTTCTTTTCTAAAGTGATCCTACCCTCTCAGGATTAGCATTATTTATTTTCATGGTGCTGGTACAAATTTTAAGACACCCCTGATGAAGCCAGAAGACACCCCAGGGTCCCACGGCACCCTGGTTGAGAAAGCCTGGTCCATATTTACACTATACACAAGTGCTTCTGGATGTGTATTTGATGGGATGTGAAGGAATGATTTGCATTGCTCCACCTGCCGCCATGACATGAGGAATAATCCTCTTATTTTTATGATATGTGATGGAATGAGACCTGAATATCTTCTGAAGATAAGAAGGTTTTACTGTACTATACAGCAACAAAATGCTCTATGGTTAATGGTGCCCAAATGGTACAATTTCACTACCGACCAAGAGCAAAAGCTGGCCCAAATGGCACAATTTCAATACCAACCAAGAGCAAAAGGTATGTACAAATCAACATATATCAACAAGGGGGCCTTCATCCTATTAATGGTCAAGGTTCCCTTGTTGATATTTATTCATTTGTACATACCTCTTTCTACATTAAACCTACCGTGAAACAAGGACTGTTAAAGGAGAACTATGATAGTTCGAGCCGACCTGTGACAATAATACTGTCACACGTCGGCTCAATAGATCGTGAAGTGAGCGAACACATATCGTCGCTCGCTCACTTCTCGATCATGTCCCTGCAGAGAGCAGTGACTGTCACTCACGGCTCCCTGCAGGGATTCCCCCCTCCCCGCTCCGTCCCTCCATGCTGAGTGGAGGAACTGACATGGGAGGGGGTGGGCACAGCTGGCTCTGCCTCTAGATAGGCAGAGCCAATTGTCACTCACGCAGCTCGGTGGATCTCGACAGTATTGTCGGGATCCGTCGTGGCTACGACAGTCTCAGTATACCGCGAGCTGTGACTCGCAGTATACTGAGCTTTGGGTCATGGGAGGACGCTAGTTTATGTCCCCTCGTGACCATTAGGAGAACTATGGGGTAAAACACTGACCCCCATAGTTCTCCTTTAACCAAAAAATTTCCTTTTATCCATCATCTTCTTGTGAAGTAGTTTCATTCACTGGGGGGTTCCCTTTGCATGTTGGAACCGGGCAGGGTCTTAACGTTGTGCCCCCGGAGCTTTGGGGTATTTACAATTGGCTCCAATGAGGCAGAAAACTTCCTTGTTTAACATTTCTTGGTTAGTGCACAATATCTGCTTTTAAAAATCTGATCTCTGCTTCTTGTCCCAACATAACTGGTTCTTCTTTCCAGGCAAAGCCTTCAGCCCAGAATTCTTCTACGACACCCCAAACCCCATCGAGTCCAACAAGCAGTTTAGGAACTACTCGTATCTGATCCAATGGACACAGAAAGATCCCAGTGCCGTGGATCCAGTGACGAGCTACAGACTGGACTTCAAACCGGTAAGACCTTCATTTGTTGTTGGGCCATCCAAGAAACCCAACAGTTGGCTGACAGTGAATGATGAGACTTGTAATCCCTCAGAGAGTCATCACCTGCCTGTAGCTTAAAGCTAAACTAGAAAAGAGAAATTTAGAATGACAAAGCTTAAAAACAAACAAAATATGAGTTTCAAAGATTCATTCTCAGAAGCTTTGTATTGCAAGAAAAATTTTAAAATGATCAGTAGATCCAGACGCACAGCCATGCAAATGAAGTTATGTGAAAATCTCATTTGTAAAATGAGGCTGGTCCGTTTTTCAAGCCTCATAACCGTACTTGTTGGTCAATGCAGTCGTCCATTACATTAACAGACCGATAAAGCTGTGTGAATCTCTGGACTGGATGGACAGAAATGCTAATACTTGGACAGATAAGACAGCTCCCTTGTACCTCATCTGTGTATTTAGCCATTTGCCTGGAGTTCAGCTTTAACATCACAATACAATTAGTGACACAACAACCGATATGAGACCAATGATCACATCACATACTTGAATGTATTGTTAAGATTTAACTCTTGAGTTTAGTGTCACTTTAACTCTTGGGTAGTTCAGTGTATATGCAGTTGGCGGAAGGAAAGATACCAGAGTGTGGTTGTAAATGGGGTTCATTTGGAACACAGACCAGTCACTAGTGATGTACCACAAGGCTCTGTAGTAGGTTTTGTTCTATTTAATCTGTTGTAAGTGATGTAAAAGGAGATTTGGTGGGCAAGATATTTCTTTTTTTTCTGATGACACAAAAGTGTGCTGTAGGGTTGATATTCCTGGAGGTGTTTGTAACATGGATCATGATGGAATTGCTGGAAGATTGGTCAAAGCAGTAGAAACTGTAATGTATTGTTTGTAAATGCTAAATAATGCATTTAGGGGGGGGATCTTTTGATAAAGTACAATATTGGGGTACAATGTTGGCCAGAAAGACAGACAACTATTTAGGGTTGCTAATTTCATATGAGTGCAAAATGTGTGGTCAGGCAGTAGAGTAAGCGAATAACATTGCGAGGTACATCACTAGAGGGATCACCAGCAGTAGGTCCTGATACCACTATATAGAGTTTTTCTAATGGTGGTGTGCCTCGTGATTTTTTTCATGAAAAAAGTGTGGCTTTGCACGAAAAAGGTTGAAAAACACTGCTCTATATAGATCTTTAGGTATCACTAGAGGGATCACCAGCAGGGGGAAGGAGGTCCTGATTCCTCTATATAGATCTTTAGATATCACTAGATGGATCCCCAGCAGGAGGAAGGAGGTCCTGATTCCTCTATATAGATCTTTATTATCACTAGAGGGATCTCCAGCAGGAGGAAGGAGGTCCTGATTCCTCTATATAGATCTTTAGTTATCACTAGAGGGATCTCCAGCAGGAGGAAGGTGGTCCTGATTCCTCTATATAGATCTTTAGTTCTCACTAGAGGGATCACCAGCAGGCAGAAGGAGGTCCTGATTCCTCTATATAGATCTTTAGTTCTCACTAGAGGGATCCCCAGCAGGAGGAAGGAAGGATTCACCTATATAGATCTTTACTTAGACCTTATTTAGAATACTGGCTCCATTTCCGTAAACCTCACTTACAAAAAGATAATGATAAGAGTAAACAAGTCCAGAGATGGGCAACAAAAATAGTGAAAGCTCTGATGAATAAAACACATTAGGAGGGAATGCAGGAACTTAATATGTAAAGTCTTGAGGAAAGAAGGGTAAGGGGGACATGACTAAAACTTTTATATACAGTCATGGTGAAAATAAGGTTCAGGAGGGCGGTATTTTCTATATGAAAGCGAACATCGGGAATATGGAGACGTGACCTCAAACTAGCAGGAGGAAAGTTCAAAACTAACCTCGGAAAGGTATTTGAGTATTTGAAGCTTGGAGTAGAATTCCAGCAGAGGTAGTAAGACAGTCATCGTGGAAGTGAATTTGAACACACTTGAGACAAGCATACTCAGGCAAAACAAAAAATTGAAAGAGGGTCAAACTCGATGGGCCACTTGGTCTATTTCTGCCATCACCCTTTTATGTTTCAATGAATAATGTCATCGGGTGTTAGAAATCCAAGTTCCAACTGCAAAAGCTTGATGTCAGACTCATGTGGTGGAGTGTAAGACCTTTGGTATGAATACAAACACAGCTTTCTTACAAGTGATCAGCCTTGGCCCATTGTGTGATACACGGCGGGTTTGGCTTTAGCGCTAGGATGCTACAGAACCATTGTACAAGAACAATGCGCTCACTATCAAGGCCATTAGAGGCTCATTACGCTATTGAACAGCTTTCTCTATTGTTCCCTACGATGAACATTAGGAAAAAAATAAATAAGCCCTGTACATTTTTCTTCTCTCATATAACCTACTTTGAAAGGCCGTAGTAAAAAAAAAAGGAAAAAGGTACAGCGAACTGTGTAATGTGTGCTCGCCCGTCACAACTAATACATTCCACTTGACTTAAGATTCAGCATGTGATGGAGACACAAGCATCCGGCTCCGGTGATATTATACAGTGAAAGGTCATCGACTCTTATTTCGAGAAGGTCAGTGAGGAAAGATGGCAGGTCAGTGACCGACAAGGAATTACAAGTCAGGCGGCGCGGCCTTACGTATTGATACACGACGATGAAATTATTGGACAATACCTATAACCATGGCGCTAGTCATTGAACGTCCAGTGATTTTCTGGTTAGACGTGCAGGATAAACATTCGCCAACAGAGTTTATTTGCATGTCTCTCTATTTGGACGTTCTGTTTACGTAAAATATTTTTGTAATCAGTTTCCAAATGTGACAGCAGGCTTCCTGAGTAAGGTAATAGCGGCGTAAGGTAATATCAGCGCATAGTGCAGTTCGGTCCAAGAGCGGGGTTGCCCACCTCTGCACACACTGCTGACTACACATTTGTGAGCAGAGAGCGGAAAATGAGTCTTCAACCTGACCTGCGGCCAAAGAGCCGAACAAAGGCTTGAAACACATGTAATGGAAATGGCCTACCTGCTAAATGTTTGTAACTCTTCCCAGCCAGTTTTATGATTCGCACCCCTTTGCTGCATTGTATAATTCAGGAATAGGAATGGTGTAGCCTGTTGTAGAGGCAGTGGGTGAAACTTCAACGTCACACCTTTAAATGTAAAAAAAAAAAAGGGAGGTTCCTGCTGCCCCTCTACTCCTTACTGCCCCAAGGCCAGGCCTTGGTTGGCCTTGTCGGAAATCCAGCCCTGGGCACATTGCTACCTAGGGCGCAGCCTTGACCATTCACACCCCTTCGCGGGGGGGGGGATTGGGGGTTGCGCCACAGGAGGGGGGGTGCAAGTAGCTGGTCTTGCCGGGGGTGCAAAATAGTCTAGCACCAGCCCTGACACCGACCAATCACGGCAGAACACTGTTACCCAATTGAGTCACACCCAAGATTTCCATTCTTCATTGGAAGTGCCAGGGCTTTGTAGAATTTACTGTCTTTATAGTTTGCCCGGTGTTACATTGTTAGAGGGTTTTTTCTAAACATTGACCCTTTTTTATCCTTTATTTGCACTGGACCTGCTTCCTGATAGTGGCATCAGCATGGCCGTTTATATTTGCCACCAGGGGGGGCATGTGACAAGGTAGCAATGCAGGAGCACTATTGGCAGACTAGAAGTGCCTCAGCAAGGATCTTCATGGCAGGACCACCAGGGATTATTGTAAGAGAATATTATACAAGGGAGACAGTAAGAAGCCTGTAGGGCAGTTGTCAATGCTGATCTCTGCATCATTACTCCATAAGTGTTGAGCATCATGTTATTCCTCCCTTAGGGGCGGGTCCATGATGGCCTGTACTCATAGAAAGCCCCCAGCCTTCTAGGTTGAATAATGGCTAGAAAACCGAGGCCATCTAGTGGCTGAAAAATATTACTACAGGGAGCAGCTCCAGATAGGAGGTGAGAATTGCAGCCTGAACTACTTTTTTTGTTGTTTTTTTCCAACCTCCTGAAAATTAGGTCACAGTTGGGTTTTAAAGATGACTAGAGAATATTCTAAAATTAGCCCCTTGTTTCCAGACAATTATTTTAAACTGTAATCTTACCATAAGATTATATGTGAATTTGGTGTATTTAGGCACATTATTTACCCGTAAAATCCTCCCTTGTGTAGACATCCAAAAGCCTTGGAAATGCTGGGGCCCGCCATTTTGGATGTGATACCCCCAATAGGCTTATAGTTGTCACTCAAGTCACATCCTATAGCAGGGTTAGTCAGCCTTGGCACTGCAGCTGCAGCAAAACTACAAATTCCACCATGCCTCTGCCTCTGGGGTGTCATGCCTCGATGTTGTCAGAGTCTTGCAATGTCTCAACAGCTGGAGTGCTGAGATGTCCTACTCTATAGTATTCTGCTTCACTCCTCTCCCAGCAGCTACATAAAAGGCTGTGTAGGGAGGTGAAGGGAAGGGTGGAGGAGCTTGGCCAACACAGAGAGTAATTAGACACTGCCAGAAGAGAAGGGGACTGTGATGTACAAGGAGGGAGGAGGCTGTGCTAGGGAATTGACTCTTCCCGAAGTGGTCAAATTTCCTAGAAAGGTCAAAGACAAATTGCAAGTCGATACAAAATTATTTATGGAAAGGAAAAATGCTGCAAGTGAGCATTCATGTACTCAATGTTTCTGTGCATTTTTTAAGTTGGTGACAGGGCCTCTTTAAGAACTGTTTAAAGAGGAATGGATAATCTGATTAATGTAAAGCTGGGATTTGCGCTCTTCATTTCAGACCTGCGTTTTGCTTATTTCTGCTTAGTAGTGACATTTCCATTCTAAAGCTGGAGGACTCGATAGACATTAGAGTTTGACCTTTCCTGGAGGTCCTTCATCCAACCCTCACTCAGGAGCTGCCACGTTTTATCAAGCAGCCCAGGTAATACATTAATCACAATGGGATCTCTCGGCAACGCCGAGTGCCTTTAATATCCTTTCTATACGGAGCGCGGCGTGTGTTT